TACCTCTGTTTTATCTATGTTCACTTGAAGGAAGTCCTATCTTCTCTGGGTGCTTCTTCTATCTCCAACTTGTTGCCTTTCACTTGCATATCTTCTAGTTTGTGGGAAATCAGACATATATCATCGCGGGCGAAGTCCAGATCGTCGAAGTCTCTTTTTGTGTGAGTCCATTTTATACCTGTTTCCTCATTGGCCGCCACTGTTTGTCGCATTATCCAATCTACTGCAATCAGGAAGATCATTGGCGATAGTAGACAGCCTTGTAAGCATGGTCTGCGAGCGTCCGAACCGCTATGCCACCGACGGTAAAAGAAATGGTGAAACAATATTAGGATATCCGAGATAGAATAAATTATTAAGGGACACTGTCAATAACAAAAACGAAGTCACACTTATCATCAAAATTATTCATTGTTGCTTTCCAAACTCACTAATTTTTACCTGACGTTTTCGTTGATTGCATTTCAAAACACAAGTGCTTTGCTTTTCTCAACCTTCCTATATGATTTTCGTGGGGGCGTTTAAACTGAAACTGTTGTACATCTACCATTTCTGTTGAATTTCATCATAGATATACGAATTAAATTAACTCCTAACTAAATTAAAGAAATTAAATATTGTATTGTTACCAGGGAAATAGCCTTATTGATTTAGAATATGAGATTGAAGACTGACAAAATGCAGGAATCTCTTGAATACCATGAGCAGAAATCTTCATGCATGTTTGGCAAGTAATTTTCACCAGTTGGAAGTGAGGTGATGATGCTACAAGACAGAAGTACATCAACTTTTTTTAACTTATTATAGCTTAGGGAGTAAAGTAGTGATACAGTGTGTATTGACCACTTCGCTTCACTTATTTAGTAAGTTTTGCATCAACCGTATAACGGGTTGATCGTACACCAAAATCTCAGCATGGTATATAAAAGGTTTGTGTGGCATTCGGCTTACTTACGCCATCTCTCACGTGTAGGCGTAGTATCCGACTGTCCATCGAAGGACATGAGTGTACTGGCTCAGTAGTCCTCTTTCATAACTGTAAGACATCGCCATTGTAACTGGAGGAGATGAATAGGTGTTAGCTCGCTGCCTTTGTGTTGATCATAGGTTTCTGTATTCTATCTCCGATGTTAGATAGTTTAATAGGGTGAGTAATAAATATTGAGGTTAGGCGTGAAGTGCTATCTATATATGAAGAGGGAAAATCAATCAACGGGGCTGTGAACTTATACACCGATTGAGATACCTAGGATATGTGCTATTTTTACGCCTAACCAAACACCTTCCCCTGACAGGCGGCCATGTTAGCTGACATAGGACCGATGAGGTTAGAAAAGAGCTAGTGGTTGGTGTTTGAAAGCAATACTTTAGAATCAGTGTCCATGAAATGTTTTTGACAGTCAGTTTGAGCCACACGTAGGGAGGTTTAGACTGTCTGACTGGATAGGATGGTGGGAAGTGTAAGAACCAAATATGTTGGAGAGAGAATTGGTGGAATGGCTGTATAAATCATTCTCGATCGATGATGCAGACGTATTCTCACTCTCTGTCTCTGGTCATTCATATGCATAAAAAACCGTATTGTTTTTTTTCTATGTGAGTTAGTATTCTTTCTCGGCTATATTTTTGCTCATAATGATTGTTTGTAGTTTGTTTTTGTGCCTTTTTTTATCTTCGTTTGTGTGGTACGTGGATTGAGTGAGGGGAGTTGTAGCGGGGTGGACTTGTGTGCAGAGTTCAACGTTGAAACTAGTCAATCAGTCAATTTATTGAGGTATATGAATGCCACGCGTGCAACGGAAAGTGTGTGTGTGTGTGGGATGGGAGCAGCAGCTGAATCTACTAGTGGTTGGTTAGATGCTGTTACAGTTAGTTCATCTCATCTGATAGCAGCAAGAAGCACAGCGTTAGCATATATATGGCCGTGCTGATTAACACCTTAGAAAGACGCGTGGAATTTTTCGATAGAGCGTTTACAGGAAAAAGTTTTACCTGGAACATAACCCGCAGTACTCTTGTTCGGTTGATTCTGGACCATCAAGAAAGGCAGAGGATTGAAAGAAACTCCAAGTGCTGCACAGGACCGTGAGAAAGCCGTCCCTTTTTAAAGGTGGTGACAAGACTACAGTTATTGCACTCACTGAGTTGTTTTGGGGAAAGTGAGAATATCCCATCATTGAGGGATAAAGCTATTGTTGTAACACCTATCCTCAAAAAGGGCCGGATTGTTGGGTAACACAAACGTTGGGGTCTTAGTTTGTTACTTGGTTGCGCCTAAAATATTGGCTGCTGTCGTATTTTGCAGGCTATATAAAACGCTTAAGAAATGAATAAGCTGAATGCTGCAGTCTGAGCTTCGTTCAGGTCGTGTGAATGCACTGGTCCCGTGTCCACTCTCTTTGGTAGTCCCTGGGACAGGCCAACAATCGTTGTATCTTCTAATATTAGGACTCCTCTTCGGTTCTTTGGATAGAGTTACTTTTTCACTTTCCCTGTTAGAGATGTTTTTGAGAAGTTGGTTGACTCCTCAGGCACATAGAGCGCATACCGCCGCCATCTGTCACCTCTGTTCTCACGTAACAGCGGGTTTAAACAGGATTACCTACTCTTAACACTTATATTTGTCTTTGTCACCCCGAGGACATTCTCGTGACAGGCCTGGAGGAAAGTGTGTGGTTACCTGAATTGTAATGTATCGGTTGGTGGTCAGTGACGGGGTAAGTGTTTTGTTCCTTCTAAATGCAAAGTATTATTGCAAGTTCGGAAGAGGCTTGCATCCACTAGTTCAGATGAATATCATTAGAGATAGTCGATAAGTTCCCTGTATCTCGGTCGTTGTATAAATCCTGAAGGAGGTGTGACGGATGAGGCCTGTAACCAAATATTGAAAACCTGGGCTGCATATGCCAATCTAGACCACATTTGGCGCCGTTGTGACGCCAGCCTGGCTGCCAAAGATTGGGTTTACAATGTTTCGGTGCTGGCGCTATTGTTTTACGCCCCTCGAGTTGAGGATACTCAGCTACTCTGCGTATTCTATCCCCGTCGTCGTCATGTAAGTAATTCTGAGTTCCGGTGGCGTGTGTGATACAGTGTAGATCGTCTTTCATTGACTTTTATCATTTTGGGTCCCCGGCTTCAGAGTGCCTCGTACACATGTTAAGAATGTCATCCCACTGGCTTCTAATATCGTTCACCGTTTGCTAGCAGCCTTGTGAGTGGGTAAAACAAATGGAAGGGTGGTCATCAGTTTATGACATGGTATCGTGGAATGAAGGGCAGTTGTATGTCGGGATAGCATCTGTTGGTGCAACACAACTCTCCCTTGCTAGTCTCCGAGAATTAATTTGAATGATTGTCTTCGAATGTTAACAAGATATGACCTAGTGTGTTGTGATGAGTAGTGAGCACGCTGAGATTTCCTCCCTCCTCTCTTTCTGAAAGTAACATTGATGTATTGATCCATCCTTTGAATGAATAATCTTGACGATAAGTGTGACTTCGTTTTTGTTATTGACAGTGTCCCTTAATAATTTATTCTATCTCGGATATCCTAATATTGTTTCACCATTTCTTTTACCGTCGGTGGCATAGCGGTTCGGACGCTCGCAGACCATGCTTACAAGGCTGTCTACTATCGCCAATGATCTTCCTGATTGCAGTAGATTGGATAATGCGACAAACAGTGGCGGCCAATGAGGAAACAGGTATAAAATGGACTCACACAAAAAGAGACTTCGAGGATCTGGACTTTGCTCGCGATGATATATGTCTGATTACCCACAAACTAGAAGATATGCAAGTGAAAAGCATCAACAAGTTGGTAGACAGAAGAAGCATCCAGAGAAGATAGGACTTCCTTCAAGTGAACATAGATAAAACAGAGGTAGGTGATGAAGATTCCTGGCCAACACCAACACCAACAACAACAGCCACAACAACAACAACAGACAACAATCAGCCAGCCAGTATAAATGGGAGGAACCTGAAAGAAACAACCTCCTTCACCCACCAACCCACCCACCTACTGATCTGGGAAGCATCGTTTCAAATACAGGCGAATCCAACTGACGAGGATATCAAAGCAGCGAGGAGCGGAAAAGCAACACAGGCTTTCATTACTCTCGTCAAGTCTGTGTGCAGGAGGTCAACATCACCACCCAGAATCAAAAATAACATCCGGATTTTTTTCCAACTCCAATGTGAAGTCAGTCAGTGCTACTCACTATACGGATGGATCAGAGACTTGCACTTCGCGTCATAAAGAACATCTCAAACAAACTTCACACCTTCATTAACAGCTAGTTGTCTTCGCTCAATACTCCGCTCAAGATGAGATGGCCGGCTGGCCAGAAAATATCAGAAACAGGGAGGGATCTCTGGTAATGAGCGAACCAACCAACCAACACAGCAGGAACCGATTGTGAAATAAATCTGCAGGATGAAATGGAAGCGGATTGGATTGGCCATACTCTGAGAAAGGAAACCATCGAGTGATTGACATCACTAGACAAGCCATTGGTCGAGTGGAACCCGGCTGAAAGGGAAGTGGGTGGCGAGTTGGTCGTCAGTGGAAGGGTGAGGGTGACATGGAGAAGGTCATGTGAAGAGGAAGAGATGAAAGCATGTGGGGAGACATGTGGAGCGGGGTGAAAAAGTTGGCAGAAAACAGGAGGCAATGGAGGTGGGCAGGTGAAGCCCTATGTTCCTCTAGGAATTAAAGGATATAATAATAATAATAATAATTTTATTAGAGAGCGCATCCCCCTTATTGTCCATATTGCACTAATTTCCTGTTTAATGAATGATAGTTGATAATCCACTAAAATATATTCGAAATTGTAACACGTGTTACCTACAGTATTTTCAATGTTTTTTTCCATAGTTTAAAATGTGTTGTTACTTTATGTGCTTTCATAGAAAATATTCTCACTCTTATCCATTAATTATTTACAATGCATCTTCAATTTATTCGGATCTCTGTCTTTATTTCCTTCTAGGCACGCTTAATGAAGAACAACTAAGAGTATCTTTATTAACTGCTGTTGTAGATCAAGTTCGTAGAGTACAAAAAGAATTGATCTATCAGCATCAAGATGATTTACAGGCTATACGTCAAACACAGACAGGTCTATTCTCCGGTGGTCAAAAAGTTCAAGAAATGATCAATAAAATGCAACATGAAAAAGTAAGACTTTCAAATGTATATTCCCATCCATTCGTCGATATATTGTTTTAACAAATCTTATTGTCTGTCTCTTATCTAGCAAATGTATTATCAATGTTATTATTATTATCATTGTTATTATATGTGTAAAACTTGGGCACTGTGGTAGTAAGTAATTCCATATTAGTTTGATTATTAAATGTATCACACAGTGAAACAGTATTGTATACTGGATGACGTTTCGAACAAAATTTATTGTGGTCCATAATCACATCAATTTTTGTCACACGACTTCGAGATTTGATTTTTATAGTTTTCTCTGTCTTCTCCTATTTGTCGTATGGGCAGTAGAATTTTCCATATATCTGGGACAGGTGTTGAATCATTCCTATTACATGTATTTGCAGTTGATTCGATAAACAAAGCTTCTGTTATCAATCTCTCCCTATACCCTGTGACATTAGATTTTAAAACTGTCATCCTATTCCATCCTATTGTATGGTTGTGTGTAACTGCATGTAGTGCTATAGCTGAACTATTCTCTAGATTTCTTGTCTTATTTGGGTCAACCAATCTAGATTTAGCTAGTTTTTGTACAATATACAAATACAATTTGTACAATATACAATACTGTTTCACTGTGTGATACATTTAATAAACAAACTAATATAGATTTAGCTAGGTTTTTATGTTCGGTTATTCTGACTGACTGCCCCTGTTCTACTAGTTTGACCTATGTATTTGACCTGACAATCATTGCAGTCAGGCAGGGTATTAGATAAACTAAATTGTTTTGTTTTAAAGGCTGCACAGGATTGATCCTTTAACTGACAAGGTTTGTTTCTAATTGATTTCGTGGTTGGTTTGAATGCCAGCCACTTTTATTCCTGCCTTGTTAAGAATTATGCTTAAGGCTTCCAAGGTTCCTTCCTTGTATGGAATTACTGTTGATGATTTACATTCCTTATTGTTGGTGTCGTCATTAATATTATTATTATTATCATTATTGTTGTTATCAATATTATTATTATTATTAATATCACTATCGTTATTATCAGTATTTATTAGTCAGTAAAAATAGGATTAGTGAAATGTTTAAATGACAGAGCACAAAAACTAAGTGTAGTAGCAAGGAAGATCTAGGACAGGAAGTGATACACATAAAAGAAGCCTTGAAACTTATTAATTACCGGGATAAATTAGTCACGAAATATGTAAGGAAATGTAAAAATAAAATAAATAATGATAGTAGAGATAGTGATAATAACAATAATATTGATAACCATAATAATATTAATAATAGCGAGCGTGTTGTTTGTGTTATAACACCATATGATGAGAACAAAAAGTAAGAAAGATAGATACTGCTCCTCCAGTACAACAACAACAGTGTTTACGTTGTTTTCCTTTCCTTTTCTTTATTTTATTATATTTTTCAATCATCAACACATTTAGGAACGTGTGAATGCAGAGATTGAGTCATTGAAAAGAAAAACTAAAGATTTAGAAGAGACATCAGAGAAATTACGAAAATCTGATTGCAGCTTTGTTGTCGATGAAGCTGTGGATACAACTGCACCACTCTATCGTCAATTGGTGGTTTCATTCGCTGAAGAGCAAGCAATTGAAGATGCAATTTACTATCTTGGTGAAGCAATGGGTAAAAATGTATTGGATGTAGAAGTATACTTGAAGGTGAGTTGACTTTTTATAACTAATCATTTATAGACAATACAACAGTTCTTTCCGCTGTCATCACCTTAACATATATTCCCCTTAATTAATTAATTTATTTATTCATTTCGTAAAACTGACGTATATCTATATATATACATATATATATATATATATATATATATATGTGCACTGTGTGTAACTCATTGATACAGTCAACTGAAAACAGTACACAAAAGTCTCTGAAGTGAGCTGAGTACTACCTAAAAATAATGATTTCCCAGTCCGTTGGATTATTATTATATCCTTTAATTCGTAGAGGAACATAGGGCTTCACCTGCCCACCTCCATCGCTTCTGATTTCTGCCAACTTTTTCAACCCGCTCCACACGTCTGCCCACATGCTTTCATCTCTTCCTCTTCACATGACCTCCTCCATGTCACCTACACCCTTTCACTGACGACCAACTCGCCACCCACTTCCCTTTCAGCCGGGTTCCACTCGACCAATGGCTTGTCTAGTGATGTCAATCACTCGATGGTTTCCTTTCTCAGAGTATGGCCAATCCAATCCGCTTCCATTTCATCCTGCAGATTTATTTCACAATCGGTTCCTGCTGTGTTGGTTGGTTGGTTCGTTCATTACCAGAGATCCCTCCCTGTTTCTGATATTTTCTGGCCAGCCGGCCATCTCATCTTGAGCGGAGTATTGAGCGAAGACAACTAGCTGTTAATGAAGGTGTGAAGTTTGTTTGAGATGCTCTTTATGACGCCAAGTGCAAGTCTGTGATCCATCCGTATAGTGAGTAGCACTGACTGACTTCACATTGGAGTTGGAAAAAAATCCGGATGTTATTTTTGATTCTGGGTGGTGATGTTGACCTCCTCTACACAGACTTGACGAGAGTAATGAAAGCCTGTGTTGCTTTTCCGCTCCTCGCTGCTTTGATATCCTCGTCAGTTGGATTCGCCTGTATTTGAAACGACGCTTCCCAGGTGGGTGGTTGTGTGGGTTGGTGGGTGAAGGAGGTTGTTTCTTTCAGGTTTCTCCCATTTATACTGGCCGCCTGATTGTTGTCTGTTGTTGTTGTTGTGGCTGTTGTTGTTGGTGTTGGTGTTGGCCAGGAATCTTCGTCACCTACCTCTGTTTTATCTATGTTCACTTGCAGTCCTATATATATATATATATATATATATATACATTGTTGTTAGGTTAATTAGATGGAATATTGTGCGAAATGTTCAGAATTCTAAAATGTGTCTCATAAATACTTCTTTTTGGAATAAGGCAGATGATTATTGCTAGTAGTATTTAATTCGTATTCGTGTTAGTATTATTGTTATTTTATAATCTCTATTTTTTGCATTTAATTATGGCTTTTGTATGTATGTCTGATAGTTGCGGGGTGCTGGTGGTGACCTTGGATTGGATTTTGTGTATATGCATGTTTAGGTGTGTGTATGTACTACTTGCTACTTGTGACTCGATAGCAGATCGATAAGTCTGACTAAAACACACATACATTCTCTCTCTCTCTCTGTATATATATATATATATATATATATATATATATACAATTACATATGCCTGCGTGCGTAGATCATTGAATTTTTGCTCTTCAATGCATTATCCATTCCTTGATGGTTTTTTTTTATTGATTTAATTCTCAAAATATGCGCCCTATATAATTGCCTATCGACCATGGGTGAATCAGTAGTAGTAGTGTCAGTATGGTCTCTCTGTTTTCGACATAGAACTTTGCACATATGTGCACCAGTTCAAAAGTCACACTCCCTCCTCCTAGTAGCACACAAATCAACACAAGAAAGTACAAGAAAAGCATAATACAGACAGTAAACAGACGTGTGAGACAAAGGAAGAGTAATAACGAAGAACAAAACAGTTTCATTGGAAATCATAAATCACAAGGAGTGGATTCATCTGCACCAGCCATCACCGAGAACGACGATTTTGAGCCATATCACCAATTGTTTCCAACCATTGGCTTTACCGTCCCGAGGACCCCAACCAGTCAGGAAGTCTACACCTTCCCACGTGATTGGCTGGCTTAGACTAACTGTTGTAGATTTCATTGACTGGTGAGGCCATGTTTTTGTTTGACCACCGCTAGCTCTTTTCCAGTCTGACCCTATATCCGCTAACATTGGTCGTCGGCTGAGGAAGGCGATGACTAGTCAGGGATGCGTAACACATGTCCTCGCCATCTCAGGCGGTATAACTTCTTAACTTCGTCGATTGATCTCCCCTGTTTACCTAGTACTCGACCGAAGCCTAACCTCAATATTGCTCACCTTATTAAGCCACTTCACATGGAGATAGAAGGCAGTCACGTATGATCAAATACAAGTGTTAGTATGGAGTAGTAGTTGTGTGCACTTTTTTACACGTTTTATTTTAGGAGAAGAAATCAAGAGAAACTGTGTGTAGCCCATTAAGGTGTGTGTGTTAATTTGTAGACGATACAAGAAGTGTCTGGATAAAAAAGGTATTTTGTGTCGATTAAAATGAAGGGCGGGGGCACTATTGCGTGATGATGATGTGGGGGTTGTGTTCTCTGCTCTGGCCGTTGTTGAACCCATGGAAGATGTGGGAAAAACTGATTGTCTTTGTCCCACAGATGTTTACATTCTATTCTGCCGTGTTAAGCTGTTTCATATGGAAGGAACAATACCGAGAGTATGGGGTAGAGTGTGCTAGGTAAAGAGGAGGTTAAGAGTCAGTCGATAAGGTTGGTTGTGTAGGTGACACTCGAGTGAGAGACGTCTGGGACAGGTGTATGTTAAGCCATTCCAAGCCATCGGTTTCCTCGATGAGAACAATGTTAGCCGACATGGATTGGGTGGTGGTTGAAAAGGAGGCAGAGGCGCGGTCAAACCAAAACCTGTTGTTGTCATTAGTTCATGCAGTTCTTTGACGGTTGGTTTGAAATGGCCACTTAGGGAGTAGTCGTAGGGGCTTTCTTACTGGCGGTGGGGCGGGGGTAAAGGGGGCGAAGTCCTTGGGATGCTAAGAACCAACGGTTGTGCAGAATACTGATAGCATGGCTCTAAATCATTCTGTCTTCTGCCTTTGTGTTGCACATGAGGGTGGGGTGTTGGTGTTGGTAAGTTGAAGTACTACTACTACTGCTACTACACTTCTCTGTGTAGAGTTCAATGTTGAGACTAAGTCAGTCAGTCAGTTAGTTAGTTCTCTGTGCTGGATGATGATGTATACAATTTTCTAAGGTTTCACTTTCCTTGTGAACATTATTCTCTCAGGGCTAACCACTTCATAATTCACAAATTGAAAGCTTCTCAATTAATATATAACCAATTTATCCCTTGCTCAGAGAATACAGTCGCATCGAAAACACACTCAATTTTTAGCCAGAGAAATCTTATCCATTGTCTCAAAGGTCCTCCGCTTTTACTCATTGACTACTCCGGAATGTGTGGGCGATTGTTACTTCCCGGCTGCCCACACCGTGGAAGTTGGTTGCGTGACCGCAGAGCCCAGGGGACAACTGCTTGAGGCCGGTCACACGTGACCTGTTTTTGTTCGTTCTTTATTGTTTGGTGTGTCTCAGTAGCATATTTATCACTCCTGCCCTGTGACACGGTAGTAGGAAGCGCGGTCGTTGTTAATCCGAGCCACGGCCGATCCGGCATGAAATTTTGTGATTTTGTATGTAATGTTGGATTGGGTAGCTGCTTTTTGTTTAACCGCTATCCAAACAACCTTTCTGCAATGGTAGGACCTGAAGAGACATAAGTCACAGCCGGTATAGCTTGATTTAGGTCATTGCGGTGTTCAAGCCCGACCACCACGTTAAGGTACCAGCTCTCGGTCGGGTCTTCGGTATGGTAAAAACCAATGGTTGGAAACAATTGGTGATATGGCTCAAAATCGTCGTTCTCGGTGATGGCTGGTGCAGATGAATCCACTCCTTGTGATTTATGATTTCCAATGAAACTGTTTTGTTCTTCGTTATTACTCTTCCTTTGTCTCACACGTCTGTTTACTGTCTGTATTATGCTTTTCTTGTACTTTCTTGTGTTGATTTGTGTGCTACTAGGAGGAGGGAGTATGGCGACTTGAACTGGTGCACATTTGTGCAAAGTTCTATATCGAAAATAGACAGACAGACTGACTGACTACTCCTAACTTTGTCAATAAAAAGTTCTTCTTACTCAGTCACTTGTTTATTTATTTATTTATTTATTCGTGTTTCAGTGTTGTATACAGTTATTTTTTCATACGAATAACAAGAGGGTTTTTGTTCTTTTGTTTTTGTTTTGTATTTTTCGCTCTCAGAAAGTACGCGAATTATCCCGTAGACAGTTTATGCTGCGTGCTACTGTTCAGAAATGTCGTGAGAAAGCAGGTCTACCGTTGTTTTGAGTACTGGATTTAATTAATACTGCGGCAAGGGGGGGTGTATTTTTCCACGCTTACTCTTTACCTCCCTCCCTCCATCTATCTCTCTGTCCGTGAAACTCTGATGTGTTCCCAACCCCTAACCCACTCTACTACTCCTCTCCTTACACCCACTGATCTCTACTTTCCCTTATATTGGTCTAAACAAAAAATCGCCGGGTTTTTTTTCCAAAGTAGTCAAAATAAATTGTATTGTTGTTGTATTGCAAAAAAGAAGCTAAACTGTACACACACACACAGATACGCATATATATATATATATATATATATAGTTTAATGTATAATGTTGTTAATCTTTCCTATTCCTCTTTGTGCTAATGAACAATTCAGATTGAACTGTGCTATTTAATAATAATAATATAACAGTTTTATTCCAAACGGTATTTGTGGTACAGGTATGAAATTTTCAGCGTACCTTACAATATATTGCATCTAATTACCTTATAAATTTTATAAGATTTTTAAAATCAAAAAAATGGAAAAAATAAATAAATAAAATTAAAAAAATCCAACGCCGAAAAAATAAAAATAAAAAAACAGCGCAACGTTTACATTTCAAACAATGCACCACAGGATATGAAATATAAAGTTGATGTGTGATAGAAGATGAGAACAACAGTGTAGTAACGAGGAAAGGAAAACAAAAACTAATGGGACTGACTATTTGTTAGAGTGACGCAGTAAGTTTACCGTGTCATACCTAACGGATTTCCCATCACATAACAGCTGTGACAGATTATGGTATTGTGGAGATTTTGTATTTGGTAGTCCAAGCATATAGCCAGCCTCTTATAGCTGCTTCTAGTTCTACCAGGTGAAATGCAAGGAGACAGCTGGGTATAGAGAGGATTCTCGGGGTCTGACAATATTGTATTCGCTAGTTTCTTACATGACATTATATGTCTATCCACAATAGTGTTAACCGGTTGGTTTAACGATATCCCACTTGCCCTACTGTCTGACGGCTTTTAGTGCCTGCCCTTCTCAGCAAAGCAAAGTCTTTCTTAAGTAGTCCAGTCCAGGAAAGATTAATGGGGAGCGGTAAAGGGGGATGGGTAGAATACAAGAATTGACAAAGTGAGAAAGCAAGGACTGCTTTATACCACACTGCCTTAACTTCCTGACGTTGAACGTTAAGCCAAACATCTTTCTAGTAACTAGGAAGATGTCGGAGGACCAGGAAAGATCGGTGGAGAAACTCAGCCCAAGGTACTTGACATTAGATGTATTTTCAACCTGTGTGCCATCAATGATAGTGGGGCCATGTGAGCTAAGTAGTTGTTGTAAGTCACGTTTACGTCTGAAAGCCACCCACCTGCACCATTTTTCAAAAGCTTATCGTCTATATATATCGCATTGTGACACTGCTTTGTAAACTAAAATCTCAATAGAAAAGCGTCCCCTTTTTTGTTTGTTTGTGTGATGATGTTTTCTTACTTTATGAAGCTTCTCTCTAATTCCCTTCTGATAATTGTCCACGTCATTTGCTCTCGTTTTTCCGTTTGTTTATTATCGATTGGTTGCTCTCTTACCAAACGTTCGCCAAGGTTATTGTTGTGTCCAGACCAATTGCTTCCTACTACGTTGAAGGGAGGGTGGTTGGGCTTTTCTCCAATCTGAGAAAGGCTAAAAAGCAGCCACACCATCATAGTGTAGTGTTTTTTACACTGTGTATTGTAATCTTTGGGCTAAGTCGCCGCCGCACTACCGATGAATAGGGACGACCAGGAAGACATCTATGAGCCAACCGTACCTGCTTCTTCCTCCGTTGTCACTGGCATCGCAACAGGATTATGGAGCCATCACTCAGTCTCAGTATCACTTAAAAGTTGTTTCTCTACACTGCCTATAAGTAGTCATAACCAATTTTATGTGTGTGTGTGTGTTTTCACTGGTCTTAATATTAAACTGGCTTTAACGATTGTTGTCAGATTATAGGCTGTTGAGAGTGTAGTGGGGGGAATAGCTGTGCATTTCTAAAATCAACCGCGACTACTACTCGGTCGGTCGAGTTGTTTTTCTTATTTCTATTCCACTGGCAGTTCAAATAAAATCAGATAGTTTTGATGAAAGTATGTCTTTTTTTGTATTGACACGCCCACACACATACACACACACAGTCATTCACGAACATGTTTTTACATATTCTACGGCGTATTATGCAAATATCCGAAATTTTCTCTTGTAAATCAATATTTCTTGAGTGACGTCTTATGTGATCACCTGTCTTAAGTATAAAAGCAATTTGATTTCTTTGTGCTCGCTACTTGATTGTAAGGGTATAGGTTCCTGATCTTCGGTGAACTTCTGTGTAGGTCCCCCCCACTCGACTGTCGTAGCTTTGGTTGACTCCAAAGGGTGTAGTTCTGGGATTAATTATTTGTGGTATGAGGTGTGTTAAGACTGTTACTACTGCGAATGGAGTTGACCTTTCGCCAGTTAGCCCTCCGGTATCGTCGACAAGAGAAAAGAGATAGTAATAATAATAATAATAGATATAATTAGTAAAGTTATTCAGACTAACAGACAGAAATGGAAATAGGAAAGCGTAACAACAGTCAGCTGATTAAATTTGAAGAATTATATATATATATATATATATATATATATATATATCGGTAATAATAATAGTAATATTAATAAGTTGTCAGGAGAGTAAGACGGGAGAGAATGTAAAGAAGTAAAACGACGAGTTTAATTGTCTACTCCTGAATGGTGTATGCGATTTTGAGGGGATAGGCCATTTGGATGCAGTCCTTGTGTCGCTGCATGGTTGTCCAGCCTTCGCTTAAAGGCGTCCAAAGACGGTGCCATAGCTACATCTGCCGGTAAGAAATTCCAGGGACGACAAACCCGCAGTGAAAAGAAGTGGGAGCGAACCCGCCTCTGGCGTAGGCGTGACATCCGGTTATCAACCAAGGGACGTGTGTACTGCTCAGCAGTTCGCTCCGTCCTTGTCTATGGCTCTGAAACATGGCCAATACGAGTTGAAAACATGAAAAGGTTGACTGCTTTCGATCATAGATGTCTGCGATCTCTGTCTCACGTTAGGTGGTTTAATAAGGTGAGTAATGTTGACGTTAGGCGTAGAGTGTTGGGCAAAGAGGGAAAATCAATCGACGAGGCTATAAAATTACATAGACTAAGATGGCTAGGTGACGTGCTGCGCATGCCTAACCACCGCCTCCCCCGACGGGCATTGCTAGCTGATATAGGTTCAGGTTGGAAAAGAGCCAGTGGTGGCCAAACAAAAACATGGCCTCATCAATCCATGAAATCCTTGACAGTTAAACTGAGTTGGTCAGGTAGGGAGATGCAGACTCCCGAGTTGGGGGCCTCGGGACTCTAGGAATCAATGGCTGGAGACAATAGGTGACATGGCTCAAAATCGTTGTCAATGGCCAGCGCAGATGTATTCAGTCTCTGTAATCTTTCATATTCCTTTCTACCATTACCCATTCTGTTTCACTCTTATACTTGTCAAACTGTATTGATTCTCTTCACTCATCTTCTTGTCTACCTCTGTGTGCTATTTGGAAGGTGGCAACTCGAACTGGTGCACTTCGGTGCCAAGTTCTATGTTGAATCCAGACAGACAGACGGGTCCTTGCCCTCTGGTGAACTATCCTTCTGGGATTTCCACGAGGGAGCCTATACCTACTCAATGGCAGAACAACTTTGTTTGAGTGATTCTGGTCATTTGTTATTTTGTAGGCAGTAATCAAATCCCCTCTAAGCCGATGGTAGCTAAGTGTGAATAGGCCTAATTTCTTCAGCCTTTCATCATATGGTTTATTTCGGAGACCAACCGCTCCTTTTGTTGCCCTTCGTTGGACTCTTTCCAATAGGTTGGCGTCTCTTCTCAGCATTGGGAGTGCAATAATATTATGCACATCAAGGTGTGGTCTGACGTATGTTTTGTACAACCTGAGAAAGAGCCCAGGAGTGAGTGCACCTAAATGTCTATGCGTAAACTGTATGACCGCATATGCCCACGCTAATATATATATATATATATATATATAAATTGGTTTTTTATGTATATATTTGGAAGTATTATTAACTCTGACATATTTTTCACATTTTAACGCGAGGAGGTGGTGATGTAGGCTTTCTTACTTTTCTAATCAACTAATGATATTATCATTTTTCTCTCTCGATTTAAATAGTGTAATATATAAGAAGGTATAAATTGTAGATGAAAAAGAAAGAATCTTTTTCTAACGCTACTTAAAGTAATTTCTAAGTTAGAAGTGAGCATTTGATTTAAATGTTATTACTTTTTGAGTAGACGAAGTAGTAGGAGAAGAAGTCCCATCGGGTTGGTGTAAGTCACTGATTATCCACGTATACAAGAAGGGAGACAAGTCTTCCTGTGATAATCACAGAGGGATTAGCTTGACTAATATAGTATCTAAAGTCTTAGGCTCAATAATCATGCGTAGACTAAGTGGTGCTCGGGAGGCACAAACGCGAGAGAGCCAGACAGGTTTTAGGCCAGGAAGAGGGTGTATTGATAATATCTTCACCCTCCGACAGATTCTAGAACATAGGAATTCCTACCGGCGTCCAACAGTCATTATATTTCTTGACCTAAAGGCGACATTCGACTCTGTCGAACGAGAAGTTCTCTGGAGATGCTTGGCTGTAAAGGGAATGACGAGAAAATACATTGCTCTGATTAAGGCACTCTACTCCTACTCATACAGCCAGGTGAGGGCTTACGGCGAGTTGTCATCTGAAATGGTGACGACTAGTGGTGTCCGTCAAGGATGCCCATTATCTCCTTTTCTATTCAACTTCATCATAGATGTACTAATGGACTTAACCCTCAGTGCTCCCAGGGAATAATCTCGTGGACTTAGAGTATGCAGACGATATAGTCCTACTAGGCGAGGACTCTAAAAAAATGCAGAGTCTCATAAACACCTTGAGCTGCAATCTACAAATGTTTGGCATGCGATTCGCTCCCGCCAAATGCAAGATGATGTTACAGGACTGGACTACATCGACGCCTAGTTTAAAAATAGGAAGTGAAGTGGTTGGTGTAGCGCGTTGACCGCTTCACTTATTTGGGAAGTACCATCGGCAGACGCCAACGGGTTGATCTGTGACGAAATCTTTGCTGAGTACGGATACAGGGGGCTCATTTTGCATATGCCCTCCAGTTTACGCCGTCTCTGGCGTAGTAGACGAGATATTCGACTATCGACCAAAGGGAGGGTGTACTGCTCGTCAGTCTGCTCTGTCTTTCTTTATGGCTAGCTGTGA